TACAAAAAAATCGATTAAAATCGTCAATCGGGTTTGGTGTGAAAAAATGGGAGATTTTATTTTTAAGCCATATCGCCCAGCCCTACAAAGAGTATTAGGTATTAGTACTCCTACTAAAATGAAGGATCTGATCCTTTCTCCACCTCTGGAGTGAAGCGGTTTTATTGTGAAAGCATTTCCCAGTGAGTGAGTGGTAGTTACTTTACTAAAATGTGTAGATAAGCTCAGGTTGCAGTGTAATAGTGCCCATTTATTTAACATCATCTTTTTTTACTCTCAGGGCAGAGTTGGTGCAGACTGTGAACGGCTAAATTAGCAGCCAGGCGTAACCGATTTTTAGTAATCATAAGCCCTAAAATAAATTAAACAGATGACACCGCCAGCATTTCATCTCCACCACTCAAGAGGACAAAAATGAGGTTTCAACCTGTCTTTAAAACCATAGTTTGGAGCGGGAAAAAGCAGATAGCCATGTGATTGCCAGGTATTAACTTATTAATTAGTCAGCCTCTAATCAGAATTATGCATGTCATCTTATTTTCCGGTTTTCTGGTATCAGGAATTTAAGAAGTGTTTCAACAGAAGCTATGAAGGGAAAAATTGACCAGAGCAGAATCAATACCTCTCTGACACAGTTTCAACGAGGGCTACTGCATTGGACTGCACTAGACTGTACAGGTGTTCATGATATTGTGTCTACCACCTTTGTTTTAGAGACTGCACTAGACAGCGTTCAGAGATATTTCCACTTTTGTGTTTCTACCTTCATTGTCAGGTCTATAACAATTGATTTTGACTAGTTGTCAAAGATATGAACAGTTAAAGAGCAGGCAACTCACATCTTGTCAACGCGACATACATGACATTGGCAGGAGCAATTGGCCCTGGCATTGAACCATGGGATCTAGTGGGAAACAAACTAGTGCCCTCTTCATGGACTGCAGCTGAGCGAGGCTGGAATTGGAAAAACGTCTACAATCATTACAAATCTTTTATACTTTCTTGACAGGGTGTGCACTCATTTTCCAGTCGCTGTTTTTGATAGCAATGTTTTTAATGTGACACAAAGGCCACAAAAACTGCTGTGGGTCAACATTAGAGAGAGGGCAATTTTCTTTAATGTAAGGCAACTTAAAAACAGCTGACCTAGCCTAACTAGAATGGAGAAATGAACTTAGATAATCTTCTCTCTTGGTAAACATAACGAGCTTGCCATTAAAACTGAAAAGGTTTGTTTATTATTTCATCAATATGCTGAAGACTCTAAAATTAAAAGCAAAATGTTTGAGGAACACAAATATAGTTTCTCAAACCAATATACCAGGATATTAATGCTGCGAGTTATACTGTTCTCCTCAGTCCTTTTTAATCCATTACAACCATCTATAAATACTACCTATGATATATTTCATTCAGGCTTTCTAATATTTTATTCTACCATATGTCTGAAAGGTGATGGAATATTACGAAACCCTTTTCAATACGATGCAGTCTAATTAAACATCAACACAAAGTACTGAATCGAATTTTACCATAGTACTGAGTCAACTCACATACAACTAAAGTAGTAGTCTAAGTAGTGTAAAATATGTGGTAGTTTATTGCATCTCTATTGTACAGCATATGTAACAGTGTATGCAAGTTTTCCTTATTACTTTATTGTTGACTCCTACTGTATGAGTGTGTCTGTTGCGGTTATACATATGTCAACTACAAAGAGCCTTTTGTTAAAATTACAATGTGAATGTGAGGGATACTGCTGGGGTCTAGATAATAATCCGTCAGACACAATGACTTGTTCTGCCCAAACACTAGTACCGAGTCGTCTTGTAATCTTATACGATATCTCCATTGGGAAGTTGTAATATTACAGGTGCAATTCCTTATCATTGCTGTAGTCGTGTACAAAATCTCGAAGCAAGATGTTAAGGGATGTGTGTTACGCAATTGAATAAGATACTGTATTAAAATAGTCTAAATGAAGTATTTACTGTACATGCACAGTACAGGTGGCTAGGGGAACCAGACAGACAACTACAGCATTAATAGCTCCAGAGCCGGCACTATATGAAGTCCTCCACAAGGACAAAGTCAAAAAAAGGTATCCACAATATGAGCCTGGTCCAGCTGTCCTCCATTGCTGCATGGAGCAAAGTCTAAATCTCTCTCACACACACACACACACACACACGCACACACGCACAAGCAAACACACACTGCCAGATGGTCCTCAACAGTTCATTAACATCAGTGACAAGCCCACTCACAACGAGAGCCATTGACATTACAGCACAGCAACAATGACGAGTGTAAACAAACTTCTGGGAACACAGACAGAGGCAATCAAATGAGGGAGCATGAATGACACCTCCTGTAGGACTTAGACATCTGTAGTACAGGCACAGAGGCAATACTTCCTAATGACTCACTGGCACACATTTCCCTGCAGTCTACACATCTTGTGGTGCACCTAATAGTAGTTTGGCCTGTTGGTCCCTTTTGTTCCTGAATTTTCTCTCTCACGCGCACACACACGAAAGCTCCGGGTTTGCTTTGATATCCATCTCTCCAACTATCCATCTAGCACAGGAAAGCCATTTGTGGAAAAACACTGATGTGCAGGACAACCCTACATTACTTGTCATGAAAAGAGAGAAAGGTTTTAGCTATTAGGTTACACATATCAGTCTCCTTGCAACATGTTAACTTCATCGTGACCATGTGTTCGTACAATGATAAATTCTTAATGATGGCACTCGGCTAACCTGCTCTGTTGACGTGACAAATACCAGTTTTGTGAGATACTCTTTACTCTTCAGGAACCATTATAATAATTGAATATCAGAGACAGAATTAAAGGTAACAGGAAGTTGACATCTTAACATGACTTTACATTGCATTATTTTCACATTTATAAAGAGTCAAACAACTTTAGACAAACACAGTAAATACAAAGCCTGCTCTATTGTTTTCTGTTTGTCAAGACATACCCTCCTGCATAGCCTCATAAGTGCATCATGTTTGCATGTCCACTGCATCTCAAGTTCCATTAAGGGAAATGCTAAATGATTACAATTCATGGTTGAAGTAAAAGTTGTTTTTTT